AATTATAGCAGAGGAAGTTCTCTGCACAGAAAAAAAAAAAAATTTTTACTGATTTTTTTAACCAAACTGACAAGTTTCTCCAGTGAAGTTATTGTGTAATTTAAAGGCAATGAAACACCTGGTTAAATTTAGAAGGTATTATGATTAACTACAAACATCTGAAGCTGACTCAGAGAACTCTGTGATTTTAGAAAAAAATAAAAGTTAAATGTAGACACGTCTTTAAAAGACCCTCCTCCTCCTCCTCCTCCCCACCACCCCGCACAGCTGCGATCAGCGCACCTCTTCTCCATCCGTGTGATTAATACTGTTTTTGTGCGCAAATTACAGATTTTTTATGCTCATTATACACGTTAAATGTCTGAATAACGGTAGGGGAAACACTGCATCTACAACTGATCCATTTATTTATGTAAATCCAAATACTGTATGTGTGACACTCTCTCTTTATCTTTCTATCATCTTTTCTCTCTAGACGAGCTCATCTAAGACTGTGTTTAGAACGCTTGAAATCTCTTGTTCCTTTGGGACCWGATGCTAACAGGCACACCACCCTCAGCCTGCTGATGAAGGCCAAAGATCATATCAAGGTTTGTGCATCAGTCTGAACGGTGTTGTATGCTGCGTCRTGTGATGCACTGAGTGTTAGATTAACTGTAATGTGTCTGATAAGATGCTGCGGACACAAACTTTATCAGCAGCTCTTGAGTTGTGTTATTTTCTCTCCTCTGRGCAGAGATTAGAGGAGAGTGAAAGAAAAGCTCAGCACACCTTGGAGCAGCTGCAGCGAGAGCAGAGACATCTGCAGAGGCGTCTGGAGCAGCTGGGGGTGGAGAGGACCCGCATGGACAGTACCGGCTCCACTCAGTCCTCTGATAAATCTGACTCTGATCAAGGTGAGACAACCTTCTTCTMTCCTACTTGACTTTTGTTTTTTACCCACTAAGATAAATGTAGTATCAAATCACAATTAAATTATCTTGGGAGAACTTGATGTAGCAATTAAAAAAAATAAACATAAACCTACATACTGTACATATAGATAAATAGATAATGTGGATACAAATCCAACAGGGTAAACAAATCTGAATTTGATAAAACATATCACCTCTTAAGGAGAACCTCAGTTTAGCCTGGTAGCTTTTACACTAGCGCCCAAGCTAATATATACGTAGCCATATAGCGTTAATGCCGAGCTAAAACATATTTATATGGCGATTAACGTTAGCTATAATAAACAAACGGCACATATTTATTAGTAATATATATTTATACAGCTTTAGACCTTCAGCTAAAAATATTAGCCCAGTAATACTAAAAATATAACATATTTGTGGAAAATAGTGTAAATTCTAAGTGCTGAATATGTTTGCTGACATATGTTAAAGAAGCTGAAGTTGAGTTGCTAAAGCTAAAAGAAGCAAGACCTTAGCTGAAAGCTAAAAGGACCAACATGCTAGCCCAGGGGTGGGCAATCCTGGTCCGTGAGGGCAGCAGCCCTGCATGTTTTACTTTTTACCCTGCTTCAGCATACTTTATCCAGTCACTGAGTTCCATCTTCCAAGTTCTGCAGAAGCCTGATAATCACCCCTTCATTCAAATCAAGTGAGTTGGAGCAGAGAAACAAGTAAAACATGCTGGGCTGCAGCCCTCGAGGACCAAGATTGAAAAAGCATGTGCCAGCCAAAGCTATAGATAGGGAGATGGCTGTTCAAAGTAGCAAAAGGGTAGCTAAAAGTAACTAAAAGACAGCTAAAAATATCAAATGGCTAGCTAAAATATAAAAGCAGCAAAAATGCTAGCTAAAAGTAATAAAGGTTGCTAAAAAAGTAGCAGAAAGTACAATGTTTTTGAAGAAATGGAAAACATCCCAAATGCGTTACAAAAACCAAAAGTCATAACATATCTCCTGAATAAGCTAAACTTTTTAATACACAAAGGCTAAAATGGCAGAAAGAATGCAGAAGTAGTTAATTTCTCAAACATGTTTGAGCTGTGGGATAGGGTTAGGTGATAAATCGATTTAATTGATTAATTCGAATTTTCCATTTATAAAAATTTAATTTTGGGAAAAATTGTTCCCAAAGTTGCTTGGTACATGACATGACAATATGGCAGCTAGCAAAGAGGAGCTACTTCTCAAAAAAAAGTCACTGTTTCTTCAGTTTTCTGGAACTGGTTAGGTTTCACTACCTCAGACTCGGAGTAACAATCACCTCACTGTAAAATCTGTTTGAAGGCTCTTGCTACAAAAAGTAGTAGTAAAACAAATTTGTTTCGGCACCTGAAACAGAATCACTCCGTTAATTGGGAAACCAAATTGATTAAAATCAAAAATTTAATTTGGAGTGAAAAAAAAATGATTTTTTTTTTTATTTTGGGCCATATTGCCCAGCCCTACTGTGGGACCATGAGCTGTGGAGCAACCTTCAGAGAGATCACTGAAGATGGCTAAAAATTCAACTACCTTGCAGTAGTAAAGTTGTGTGTTTGTTGTGTTTAAACAGAGGACCTGGATGTGGATGTGGAGGGGACAGACTACCTGCTGGGTGACCTGGAGTGGAGCACCAGCAGTGTGAGCGACTCAGGGGATGAGCGAGGCAGCCTGCGCAGCAGCTGTAGTGACGAGGGCTACTCCAGCGCCAGCCTGCAGCGCCTGCACGACACTCAGGAGAGGGCCAAGCAGCTGGGCTGCAGCCTATAAACAACCCCCCACACCCAACCCTCCCCTCAGTCTACCCCAGCCCAAGATTGTTTCACCACTCCTCTCTGCTCAGACCTCCCCTCCCCCTCTCCTCCCCCTCCTCTCCCCTCCTTATAAAGACTGACTGAGTTAGAGGCCACCACTCCAGCGAGGCCTCGCTGGACTTTTTGTCCGCAGCCTGACTTCTCTTCAGACTGCAGCACTTCTGAGACACCCACCCGCATCCAGCCCCTCCATCAGCGGTCAGTCTTAAGGGTGTCGCCCGCTCTGCTCCCATCCAATCAAACGAGTCAGGTTTTAAAGACACTCCACCACCCCGCCGCCCTTCCGTCCTTCAAAAACGCAACTGTCAGCCAGAGAATGTTACCACACAATGTCCCACTGCCTCCTTTTCTACGCCTCAAGAGCCATGGGAAGCACTTATGAGATTTCACTCTTAAACCACACACACATGCACACATCAACACACAAACACACACACACACCTCTTCATTTCTTCTAATTGTCCAATCGAACCTCTAAAAGGCGTGACACGGATGTGACAGGAGGCGTGTTTTTTGTCCCTGCTCACCAGTCGCCCATCAGTGCGCGGTGCGTTGCACTTAAAATAGTTTTTGTAAACAGAAGTGTCATCTTTTCAGACACTGTCTCTCACCTCCCCACTCGGTGGCAGTAATCCCACCAGATGAAGTGAATGTTTGTAAAACATGACAGTCAGCAGACTCTGTGGACACTAAACGGTCCGAGCCGACAGCATTACGTCCTCATTAGCTTTAGCAGTCAGGCTCGCGACCACCCTGTAATTACACATCCACGCCTCCCATTCAGAGAGCAAAACAAAGACAAATCAAATGCCCAGCTTGAGATTGTGAACAGGTTTGGGGTTGGGGGGGATTATGGGGAGCGGGTTTGAAACTCCCGGCCTCTCTCTGATTATGGTGGCACTTTTAGCTGCAGCCCCTTCTCCTCGGTGTGCATGTCATGTCTGGGCCTTTAACACCAGCCAGCAGGCTAAACACCATCTTTTACCAGGTGATGGTACGCTTCTGTACACGACTCCTCCACTGCCCCATTAAGGAGGCGTTGCCTGAAAGTGGAAAAGCCTGTTTATCCACAAAAAAAAAAAAAGACTTGAACACATTCCACGATGTAAAAGCAAACAAGCAGGTGAGATTGATGATTATTTTTGTGAGGAGATGTTTCCATTTACTTCTTAAGCTCAGACTGAGACAAGACAAAGTGATCCTGAAGCAGAGTGACTTGTTTTCAGTGGGAACACACACACAGTGAATGTTTCTGCGTTCATCCTTAAGAAGCACTAACATGTTAAAACCACAGATTTTCTTTTATTTTGCCTTGCCTTCAAAGCTATTTATTGTTTCAGTAATGTACACCTTTTAATGTAAATAGTTCTCAGAATGATCTCTATGTGTAACACCAAATGTATTTATTAGATATCCTAAATATATAGATGAATATATAAGAATATATATATATATTTATATATTTAGTCATAGCTTATGTTCTTTTTGTGAAGAGTTTCTTCTCAGTAGTTTGTTCACAGACAAGTCGATCCCTAGAATATTTAGAACAACGTCTCTCGTGCCTCAAGGCTTGGATGTGTGTTAAACTTGGTACGGCGTTCCTAGGAAATGAACCGTTTTCATTGTGGTTGAGTTTAAATGTTTGCTGTTTTAAAAGCCATCTCACCCTGTTAATGAAGGGGCGATGGGAGAAATGATGATAAAAAAAATCTGAATAGCTTAGAAAAATGTGAATTAAAAGGTGTAAAAGTGAGAGGAGGAGCTCGACGAAGTCTCTGCTAAAGCGTAAAGAAGGTACACCAACACGCAAAAAAATAAAATAAAATAAAATCWGAAAAAATAGTTATAGGATTTAGTCTTTCGGTGTGGCATGCTACTTATTTTTGTCATGTTGAACCCTTTCCACGCAGAGAGGAACCGTGTAGCCACGATCGCAGCAAAACGTGCTTCAAACATAGGCGAGTGGGCAGGCGTGTTCACTGACACGCTGTTTGCTGGCGTGTGCATGTGTATACTGTGTGTGTGTTTATTTGGTCACTGTCTTCAGAGAGAAATCTTTGGGGTGGTAGAGGGAGGGTGGCTTGAAAAATTGTAAGGCTCTGTTTCTATTGTTTACTAGTAAAAAAAAAAAAAAAGATCAGTTATTAACTTGAGCACTAATGTTCATGAGAGTCTCGTGTTTTCACTTTTTTTTCTTGGCTTGTTTCCTGTGTGTTTGCCAGGTGGCCATGTGTGAGACTGTGTCCCTCTTCTGCCTGCTGTGTTGGCATTTCTGGTGCAGGAAGGATGGGTGTGAGGGTTTGGGACAAGGTGCTTTTACTCTTAAAGGGACAGTCTGGTCTTCATTGAAATAATGTTCTGTCGTATTGTTCTCAGCATCATCTGTGACATCAGAGAGCACGGGTTACAGAGAAAAGGATCCTTCCTTTAGACAAAGCCAGTCATTTTTCAGACTCTTTCTCCAAACAAACAGCATGGTGTGAAACATCAAAACATATTGGAGCTAGAGACGGGGCCAGGAGCGGGAAGTTGAAGCCATGAAGAGCGATGCCCCCATGTGGCAGGCTGCAGTACAGTCTTAATGTTCCTCCCCTCCATAWTGAGACTTGCAAAATCAAATTTTTTTAATTGACATATTTCTTACCGTGCTGTTTATGATCAAACATTGTTTTTATTCAATTTTGATTTAATTTGAGGGTGAAAGAAAAAGTGTGGGAGGGTATGTGTGTCTCTGAAGGATTTTTGTATGGGTTGCTGCTTTATGGCATGGCAGCACCAAAACAACATGCTAGGTGGCTAGCTAATAGCTAGCTAATGCTCTCTGCCTGATGTCACAACTATTAGAACATCACTTCAAAGCTGACCAGAATGTCCCTAGAAGCGTCACGCTGCAACAGCCCCTCCCTCTCACCCTCCTACCCCCCCTTGACCCGATGACCCTGGTGCTCTTAGCACCTGCTTTAAGAAGCAGGTGTAGAATCTCTCGAAGAACAAGCCCACAGTTGTTTAAGCTACAGCTTCAGGGGGGAAACCCGTGCACATTTGGGTTTTTGCACCACTTCTCCCTGCACACAACATGGCGAGCGATGCCTTAAAATGGTAATAAAAGGGAGACCCAACAAAAAGCTGGACATGAGTGTTTCTGATGTGTAGAGTTGCATCACAAAAGATCATTTTTCCTTTTCATTGTGACCGTCTGAGGCGCTGTGCTTTCAGGCTTCACACACACACAGCGTCACGACTCCACGAGCATCATCACCATCACCTGCCACCTTTTCTCTGCAGAAAGGTCAAATGTCTGTTTTCTGATTATTGGATGTTTTCTGCACTTACTTTTTAAGAATTGGAGATTTTGAACATTGTATTCTAAATGAATCGCTTCAAATATGGGTTAAAAAAAGCCCTTTGACAAAGAATTGTGGAGCAGCAGTTTATATTTGCCACTGATGACAAAAGAATAAATTATTTGGAAACCCTTGTTTACCTATATGTGTCCTTGTCGTGCTCTTTATTTGTGGTAATCAGAAAAATCTAGTCTCTTATAAAGATGTTGAGCCTGTTTTAGTAACAATGCAAAATGAGAAATTTGGCAAAAGAAAATATGAGTATAAATGTAAAACTGATAAAATACAACAGGCCTAGTTTTCCTTGAAGGTCTACATGTTACCTTCCAGCTTTGAAGCCAGAGTTTGATGGTGATCATCTGTGGCAGATATGTTGAAATCTGATCACCTCCAAAAGTTAAATCACTGTCAATAAGCATCCAGAGATTATCTTCTCAAAGTTGAGTTGAAATCTGTGGTTTATTATTTTTCCTAACAGTCTGACACTTGACTCCAAAAGCTCGTGTGTAGTACTTGTAGTTGTGTTGTAAATGACTCTCAGCTACCACATTAACAGCATCTGTAAAACTGAACTACAGCATCTTTGTACTTTCTAAGCTCAAGTCGACTGTGGCAGCCATCTTGATTTGAGTTGGCTCCAAAGGCTAATCAGCTGTAAATCGACACCCAATCAGTGTTTTACTGACATTTTGTTAAAATTGYTTTGTTCATAAGATATTTTGCTAACAGTTTAACAGAGCTGTCTCCAAAGAATTAAAGGCYAAATCTGAAATTAGACAATGGTGACATCAATCTGTTAGAGCTCAAATATTTAGTCCAATATCTAAAACTGACTGAGTTTTAATCATTTTAGTGTTTTTGAAAGTCTGTTAGCAATGGCAGTCTTCTTGAAAGCTAATTAGTTGTAAATGTACTCGTTTCAGCAGGTTTTATTAAAATTTGCCCAGGGTTCTGTGAGATATTTTGCTAACAGACAGGCCTTTWGAAGAAGGGTGACAATGAAATACAAACATACTAACAGGTATGTGCTTAATTTAATTTTATTTGTGGATTTAGTGTTTTGAAACTAATACTTTGCCATTTTTATATTTATGATCATCTTAATTTTAACTTGTGTTCGCTTCAAAGTCAGTCAAATTTTAGCTATTGTCTATTTTTATGATTATTAATTTATTAATAGAATAATAAATAATAATATTAATTAATTTGTTTTTGAACATTTTTAAGACGKGGAGTCATTCATGCACAGTCACCACTACAAATATAATTTTAAAGCCAGTGTTATGACACAAAAGCTACATTTTAATAAGTTTTCTTATTTTATGACTCTTGCTGATCTGGCCTGGCTTCATTCTGATGAATTCTAGAAGAAAAGCCAGTCTTTGTGTCAGCTTCTTGTTTGCCAGCCACTCATTGTGTTTTGAAATAAACTTCTGGCTAAATCCCAAATCTGTGTGATCTGAGCCATCTGACTCCAGCTTTCTAAACAACAAACCCAGAACAGGAGGAGGAGGATGTGAAGCACGAGGAGCCTCATGTATTCTGTGTGACTGACGGGGGTTAGGATCATACACATTTTTATTTGTCATCAGCCACTTGTTCTGTGTTTTGGACATGTGACCATGAAAACCTCAAATATATTTAGTTAGCTGATAAAMCTTAAAGCATCACTCTTTATTTCTACCCTCTTCAAATCAAATGCAATCARTTTTGGCTTCAAATTATTCAAAAACAAAGGCATTAATGTGATCATTTTCAATTCTGTCAGTGACAGCACCCTGGTTACGTCCTTATATTCAGATCTTTCTTCACGTCTGTGATGTTGCATCAGACWCAGGCCCAACAGAAACGGTTCAGTTGTAAAACTATTTGAGATGTTTGATCTGGCACCAATCAGCACAGGAGCTCATCTCCCTGTTTGTTAAATATAAATCTTTACTCAGCTGACTGAATAAAACAAATAGGCCCATAGATTTAATTACTAGCATTTAGTGTATTTTAGGTTCAAATGTTTGATTGAGTGTTGTATTTTTTTAGCATTTTATCTTCAGTGAACAGCTCTAAAACAGGATTTCTGTCAGGTGAATAAACCATTTAGCTTTAGCCATCCTTTTTCAGAGTTTAAAAGGAAAAAATATGAGATAAACTGTCCTATCTCCACAGTCAGGATGTTGAAACGTTTCATCGTCATTACAGTTACTCGTGGGACATTTCTTTGTTTTACCAAAACAGTTCCACTGAGCCTGCAGATTTGACAAAGTGAGTCCATTTACAGGAATTAGGCACACACACACACTCCCCCACACACACTCATGGTGTCACATGAACTTTCTTGAATCATAAAAGCACTAATTACAACTAAACTTTATTTTAAAACAGAACATGAGGCAGGAAGGCCACATGTGAATCAATGAGTCACCTAAATGATTTTCTGTGCACATTTCTGATCAAGTCCTGTTTGATTAGGGGACGTTTGTGCTAAAGCCAGCCTATGAGGACGCCATCCTGTTCCAACTTTCACTCCTACATTCCCAAGAGAGGTTTAGGTTTCTTTAATAATGAATAGTTAGGATAAAATCTCCTGCCTGGCCCAGACCATGACAGCACCTCCACCGTGTTCTAAAGATGGCTGTAGATCCTGTCTCAACACACACAACTACAYCTACAATGTTTCAGTTCACTCATCACATGTAAAAACTATTTCAACATGCCTGAATTCTTTTTTTATTGTTTTCTATTCTTAGAAATYGTTTCTTCATCAACGTGTAACCTGTAGCTATGTTTACATGCTCAAAATTTTTTTGATCAGATTGAAATGTATTCYGATTAAATAATCTGAAMGTACTGTTTACATGGACACAATCCGATCATGACAAGTGTTCACATGCACCAGACTTTCATTCAGAATAYAAGWCCGGACAGGTGTAGTGTTGTAAACTTTCAGCTCTACAATTATGACTCATCATTCTTTAYTGGATCAGATGTTTTAAATTATGTTTGGTGTTAAAGCTRTTTTTATTTAGTCTTTATTTCTCACAGATACCCATTTGTGATGTTTTATATAATTACAGAAAGTGTCCAAAGACATCCTCTAATCTGCAGTCAAACAACACGACCGTAGACAGTCTGAGTACACTGACATCATGTTTCTAATGGTGTGTGTGTGTGTGTGTGTGTGTGTGCATGTGGAGGAGTTGTTGACAGGATTGTGCAAATGTTTGCTTGTGTGTCAGGGTCACAGCAATACACCTCTCAATGCCCTCATTTGTGAGATTAGTCAAATCCAGCAGCAGCTCATACAGGGGTTGGACATCTACTTGTGAACTTTACCTCCTTACACCACCCTGACCACACACACACACACACACACACACACACACACACACACACACACACACACACACACACACACA